CTGACAACACAGTTTATATAGTCATTTCCGGAGGGGTTAGATTAAAATAGTTTACATAGACTAAATGTCAGTTTGATTAAATCAAGAAACCAAAATATTGCCAGAAAGAAAGAAAGAACTGGGGCTCAAATGATAGTACAGCAGGTAGGGCATTTGTCTTGCAAGTGGAAAACTCAGGTTTGGTTCCTGGCATCCCATATGTTTCCCCCGAGCACTGCCAGCAGTGATTCCTGAATTCAGAGCCAGAAGTAATTCCTGAGCATTGCCAGGTGTGACCCAAAAAGCTAAAAAAAAAAAAAAAGTAAAAAAAAAAGCTACAGACACTTGAAATAAAGACAAATTGGCATGTGTGTGGTTCAAACTTTGCTTTTGTTGCTTTAGTATTTTTTTACTTACATGTATACTGATACATCAACATAATTTGGGCAGAATGTTTTTTCTCAAAAAGTTAACATTCTGGCTGGAGAGATAGCACAGTGGGTAGGACGTTTGCCTTGCACGCAGCCGACCCAGGTTTGATTCCCAGCATATCATATGATACCCTGAGCACTGCCAGGAGTGATTCCTGAGTGCAGAGCCAGGAGTAACCCCTGTGCATCACTCGCTGTGATCCAGAAAGCAAAAAAAAAAAAGTTAACATTCATATGAGGAATTAGTAGGAATACTAGATGTTAAAGTTCGTTTCTTCAGTGGTTTTAAGATAACTCCATTTAAACATCACAGGAAGTGCAATCTACATGGAAGGTATATGGAGACAGTGTCCATCTCAAATACATGTCTAGAGGATGATTTAGTATCTTAAATTTATTTCTACAATGACATCTGATTAATTATATGCTTCATTTTTTTACAGTTCTGCTTTTGTATTTTGTTTTTTTAAAATTGTCTTCAAAGCATACACAAGCAGTGTACAATATAATAATCCTAGTAACATCAGCTCAAATGACAAGAGTAAAAAGTAAAATCATTCACTCACTCTCTATATAACTCCACACTTATGAATTAATTAACTATTTAAAACTTAGAATGTCCTTGAAAATATTTATAATTCTTAATTTTTTTTTACCAAATAAATGACAATGTGTCCTACAACCTCCTTCTACTTAATAATTCTGACAAAGAACAATATTAATCTGTCAGTCACATTTTATAATTAGTGCAGAGCATAAAAGACAATTTCATCAATTTTTAGCTATTTTATATTATGTTTCTTCAAGAATTAATAAAGCTATCAGGAGCTGAAAACATTGACATAAATCTTTACCCAATATCAATTGTAATTCTTTTCTATAAAAAAGATTCCCAGTCAAACTTTTATACATTTTGAATTCTGATAGGTATTGTCCTCCAGAAAGATGCACTCTTTTATATTTCCACCAATTTTGCCCATTACTGTTCCATCTCTCACAAGCTGACAACTCTAAGTCCAATCTTTTTAATGTTTAAATAACCTTGTCCTCAATATAAGTTATAGTTTTCTAATTGGTAAATGTGTATTTTTTTAAACTCCCCCCCACCCAGGACTGGAGAGTACTTGTGAGGCACTTGCCTTGCATGTAGCTGACCCCACCACCATCCCCAGAACCACAGAAAGTCTCCAGAGGAGTGAAGAATGACCCTGAGTAGAGTCAGGAGTAAGCCCTGAGCATCGCTGGGTGTGGCATAAATTCTATGCCCTTCGACCCCCAAATTTAAACAAATTTCCCCCAATGCTTACTAAATAGCTATAATTTTTTCCATTGGATTTTTCATCCTTTGCTGCATTTGTTATCTGAACTGTATTTCCATTTAGAATCGACAAAACAATATTATAAATTTTGCTTTAAACAGTTATAAACATTTTTAAGAGGAAGAAAATTTTATTTTTGCTCGTGTATTTTCCATTTTCTCTTCGTTTATTCCTGAAGATTAGAATTTCTTTCTTTCTTTTTAATGTTGGAGTTTCTGTCTAGTATTATTTTTCCTTTTATTATTTCTCCTAATATAGAATTTCTGGTCATGGTCACTGTCACGGTCCTCCCATTATTCATCAATTTGCTCAAGCGGGCCCAGTAACATCTCCATCATGAGACTTGTTGTTACTGTGTTTGGCATATCGAATACTTCACGGGTAGCTTGCCAGGCTCTGCCGTACAGAATTTCTGGCTATGAATTATTTAATTTAATCTAAAACTGCCTTTATTTCACCTTCATTCTTAAAGGATATTTTTGCTATATGTCAAACTGTTTACTTTTTAAAAGATATTTATTTTCTTTTGACTTTCATAGTTGGATGAGAAGCCATAATTCAAACCATTGAATTTTTAAAAAGTCACGGTCACAGTCCTCCCGTTGTTCATCAATTTGCTCGAGCGGGCCCAGTAACGTCTCCATCATGAGACATGTTGTTACTGTGTTTGGAATATCGAGTACGTCACGGGTAGCTTGCCAGGCTCTGCTGTGCAGGCGAGATATTCTCGGTAGCTTGTCGGGCTCTCCGAGAGGGGTGGAGGAATCGAACTCGAGTTGGCCATGTTGGCTGCGTGCAAGGCAAACACCCTACTGCTGTGCTATTGCTCCATTCTGAATTATTTTTCTCCAAGAGGTGTTAAGAATGTATCATTATCATTTGTTTTCAGAAGTGTGGTCACAATTTGCCTAGATTTGATTTTACATTTTTCCAGTTTGAAGTTTGTTGTACTTCTTGCATGCTGAAAATAAAAAATGTATATTGATCCTAAGTCATTCTTTGTAATTGTTGCCAAGCATAAAGGTAAAGGTAAAGGCCCTCCCGTTGATCGTCGAGTTGCTCGAGCGGGCCCAGTAACATCTCCATTGGAGACTTTGTTGTTACTGTGTTTGGCATATCGAATACTCTTGGTAGCTTGCCGGGCTCTCCGAGAGGGGCGGAGGAATCGAACTCGGGTCGGCCATGTTGGCCGCTTGTAAGGCGAACGCCCTACCCGCTGTGCTACCAAACATAAATTTCACCAAAAGTTATTAAATTATTTTTCTATGTTGTCTTTAATTGAAAACACTGCCCTGAACTGAATAAACTTTCACATAAATGACGGCATTTTTCTCCTCTAGGGTCTGGGAACTGTTGAATGTTGTTTCTTCCAATACAGTTTCTTCCCCATCCTCTTTTATTGCTTCCTTCTGAAGTCCAATGTCATAATCTTATTTCTTCACAGATACATAACATTATGTCAATTTGACTTATTTTTACAAATCTTGTTTTAGATGGAATATTTTCAGAGTCCTATCTTGAAATTCTTTGTCTCTCTATCTATCCTCTGTCATTCCGTTCTCCTGGCTAGAACAAAATTTTTCTGATATTGTATTTTTCAGTCTAGAAATTCATTATCCTTTGCAATTATTCCTCTGAATATTTCTTATCTTTCAATTATTATCAAAAATAAATACTTTAAAAAATCCTTTTCTGCTTACTCCATTATCTGGGCCATTTCATCTCCATACTTCGACTTTTTCTTAACAATAAAATTTTTGCTTGCCTAGCTGGTACTTTTTTTTCCCCTTAAATTTTTATTAGTAAAACACCATGAGGTACAGTTGTAGACTTACAAATTTTTGTGCTTGGGTTTCAGTTATACAATGATCAAGTACCCATCTCTCCACCAGTGTCCATTTTCCACCACCACTGATCCCAGTATCTCTCACACCCCCATCCCCCCATCCCCCCCTACCTCTGTGGCAGGGCAATTCCTTTTGTTATCTCTCTCCTTTTGAGTGCTGTAGTTTGCAAAAGAGACACTGAGTGGCAATCATGTTCGGTCTATAGTCTACTCTCATCACGCATCTCCCATCATGAGAGGAACTTCCCAACACCCTTTATTTGGTGTTCCCTTCTCTATCTGAGCTTTCTTCTCCCCTAGCGTGTGCGGCTGGCCTCAAAGCTTTGAAGTAATCCTCCTGGTACTTATCTCGACTAATCTTGGGTGTTAGTCTCCTATTTTGTTACTTTATGTTCCCCAGATGAATGGAATCTATGTCTATCCCTCTCTTTCTGACTCATTTCGCTTAGCATGATACTTTCCATGTAGTATCACTTGTATATGAATTTCATGACTTCATCTTTTCTAACAGCTGCATAGTACTCCATTGTGTAGATGTACCAAAGTTTCTTTAACCTAGCTGTTACTTTTGAAGACTATCTTGACCACAGCAAATATCTCAGTCTTCTGAAGAGCACTGATTTTAAAAATTTTGTTTCAGCAGACAATTAAAGTAGTAGTTATCAAAACATGTTAATTTATTCTCTTGTGATCCAACTCAAATTGTGGATAAAACAATTAAATCTTGAATGGGCTGTTTGGAGTCTGGTTATACAGGGACCTAGGCTTATGGCCAAAGAAGTTTTCTGCTGGGTATTAATCCATTCCTGGTCCAGTTCCAATTCCCCCTTTTGGAGAGATTCACACGATGAAGAAAGTTATTTGTAGTTCTAGCCTGAAGGAAACACTAGAGCCTGGTGCTTGAAGCTTGAGATAAGTCCATGTTTTTATCATACCCTTCTTGCTATATATTTTCTTGTTAAGTACTCATAAACTTGTTCAAACTCAAAATCTCTTTTGTCTCTGATCTTGGCAACAATACCAAAATATTTTATTCTTTTCCCATATAATTAGTAGTCTCTAAAGTACAGCTGGATTTTATCATCCATTTAATCTCATTTATTTATCATACAAAAATTCCAGAATGTTTTGTGTTGATCAGGTTTTCTTCTTTGTTGTGCCTTAATTTTGCATTTTCTATCTTATTATGAGTTAAACTTAAGGAAACTATGAGTGCAAGCTAATATTGACTGGAAATCTACAATTAGAAACATCAGAATAGAAACTCAAGACATGTTAATAAAGATGGTTTTATTGCGTTATAGGTAAAGGTACATAAAAATCAAATATTTGACCAAAATTTAAATATTTATTCAAAATGAGAAATTTTAAACATTATAAGGAACATTTTTAGTATGTGTGAAAAAATGTTAGCCACACATAACTTAAAATCCTTAAGACTAAGGCAAATATTTAGTTGTTCATTGAATTTTCAAGAATTAAAAAATACTCAACTAAATGCTGTTATTAATTCAAACAAATATAAGTTTTTGTGTAAAGAAAAGCTATTGAAAAATATGGGAAAATCAACACACAAGAAATTACACTCTCACACCTCCTAAGAAAGACTTACAAAAATCCCACATATTAAAAAATCTTAAAGTTTCATCTCCCCAATTATTATTTGATCATAAAGTTCTTTAGTCAATGGAACATAAGATTTTTTCAAGTTATCCATAAAGTAAAGTGGATCAGAAATCTTCAGTGGGTTAAATCCTTCTTCCACCACGTTAAATTTCTGCAGTTTGAATGTCCCTGTCATTTCCATCTTTTCCTGTAAATCAATTATTAGGATTAGTGGAATAATTTAATATTATATAATATAAAAATAATATAACAATAGACTGAAATATTTAGCTATAATATTTTGTGTACAAGAAACACCTATATTTACTAAAAGAATTTAACTTTCGAAAATAAATGCCCTCTAGAGAACTTCACTATTTAATATGATTTACCAGTGAACTCTTTTCAATATGTGAACTATAAATATAGTTAATGAGTAGAGAAGTCCATAATGCATAGACTTACCTCTTCACTTGAATACCAGTGCTATACTGCTGCTAAAGACCCAAATAAAAGTCATGCAAGATGGCAATCTATTCCATAGAGCACAACTCTATAAGAACCAAAAGGTTTAAAGAGAGCTTGAACTTGGGTTTCTATTGAGATGCCCTGTAGCATCTCTGAATTTTAATGGTTCTCATGGGATACTTAAAACACTTAGGCAAACCATGTGACACCTGTTAGTCACCATGGAAAACTCCTATGTTGGTTTCTGATACACACTGTTCAGAGGTTCACAGTTGCATATACAATCAGGATTTTAAGTCTGCTGTAATAAAAGCATGCAGATGAGGCTGGGAATAGCTCAGCAGCAGAGCAGTAAGAGTGCCTGCCTTGTGAGGGTATTAGTGAGGCTGGGAGGCTCATCCCTGACCATCCTAGTGGCACTGCTTCACGGAGTCCCCAGTGTCACAACCATGTGTACAGTCGGTGGCAAACTACAATAAAGGGAAAATAAAGGAGGAATTAAGAAAGTAAGCCAGGACGGCCTAAATCAATAGGATCTTGTCTAGTCCAATCTAATTCCAAGATTTGAAGTATTGCAAATGCCCAACTTAATACTTGGTACTTGAAGTTATTTAGATTATTTTATTTTATTTTTCTTGGTTTGTCTATTTTAATAGGTTGATTAAATTCATGGAAAATTATTTTTTCTTTTATTTTTCTATGCATTATTTATACAAATAACTGATTTGCTAGATCTAAATATGTATCTTTTGCCAAAATATTTCCTTTCTTGTTGAAAGAGAATTTTTTTTAATTGAAGACTGTAATTTACAAACTTATGGATAGTTGAGTTTTAGGCTTATAATATTTCAACACCAATCCCACCACCGGTGTCAACTTCCCTCCACCAGTGTTCCCATATTACCTCCCTACCTCCAGTCTCCACTCCATTCCTTCTTGTCAACTTGACAGGCACATTACAAAATTTCAGGGGTTGCAGATTAGATCTCTTGTTTCTGAAAACTCTGATGTTGCTGAGTCTTTGTTTTGGATAAATGGCTCTACCACTCACCCATATCACCAGGATAACTTATGCCCTGATGCCTGTTCACCCATGGCTTCCCATTCTTCCCTCCTCAATGTCTGTCCTCTGTCCTTCTCTCTTTGCAATGGGGTGATGAGTAATATGGGCATCCCCCTCTTATTATAATACCTTTCCTCATCCAGTATCCTACATGCCACAGAGAAATGAGATCAGCCTGTGTTTGTTGAAAGAGAATTTTAAGTTGTTCCAGGGGGAAATGTTAAAAATACAATTAAATATAATTCATCAACTCTCCCCTTTATCAAAATGCATTTGTTTCTGGGCAAGGTGGATCTGGGAGTGGTGATAAGAGGAAATCTGACAGATCCTTGTGCTGGAATTGTTCATATCCTGTATTGGAGCATTAAGCTGCATTTGTAGTACAATGTCTATAAAATAATATGCATAAATATGAGTTAAATAAACCGTAAATCTTAAATAAGATTTTATTTAAGCAATACCAGGGTATGGCATTGCTTAAATAAAAGCATCAATTGTAGCAATACCATACCCTGGTTGTTACAGTTTCATAAAATACCACCCCTTGGGGAAACTGAGTAAATGTACACAGGATATCTGTACTATTTCATATCACCATATACAAATCTACAATCATCTCAAAAAACCTTTCAATTAAAATGTGATTTGTTTCATATTTATTTTCCTTCAATATTTCCAAGGATTATTTCAAATATAACCTGAGACAACATATATCAAAACTCTTAAAATAAAAGAGATATGGGCTGGTGAAATGGCTCAACATGTCTGGGGGTCTGAGTTTGATCCCTGATTCTGCAGGATCTGCAAGCACCTCCACGCATGGCCATGGTGGCCCCAGCACTAATGAACGCAAGCAGTCATGTGTCAGGTGCACAGCCAGGGAAGTGGAACTACTTTAGCTTCATTATAAATCTAGTTCAGAAGAAAATTACCTGAATTCTTAAAAATCGAGGGCAGGCATACGCTGGCAGGAAAGTCACAACCTGTTCATAAAGTTTCTCCAAGTCTAATGACTTATTTGGTTTTAAGATAATAGAAGCCATTCCTGCTTTTCCTTCATAATCTGGGAGGAAAGTTTGAAAAGAGTCAATTTTACAAATACTATAGGAGTTTTAAACATCATCCATTTATGTATTGTTGCAATAGCAATAACTGTAAGAACATATATTTTATTATAACAATAGCAGCATACCCTTATCATAGATGATTGATCTTTCCCCTGCATATATGCTTTACTCCCTAAAAACAAGTTAGGAACTGAAATGAATGTCTATACTACAGAAATGAAGTAGATGAAATGAAAAACATGGTAAATGACCCATAACTTGTATCTTGCTACCATTAGTGTAAAATATTAAAAAATAATTAAAGCAAATATACTCCAGAGAAATGCCCATCGATGTACAGATATGCAAAATAAAGCACTATTTTCTTTTTTAGGGTGGCACACCGGCAATACACAGGGGTTTCTCCTGGCTCTGCACTCAGGTATTACTCCTGGTGGTGCTCAGGAGACCATATGGGATGCTAGGAATCGAACTCGGGTCGGCCCGTGAAAGGCAAATGCCCTACCCACTGTGGTATCACTCCAGCCCCTAAGGCACATATTTTTATGTGGAAAACTAGGAACTGATATATCCATACCTAATTCAGCAGATTCATGATACCTGCTTATCATGCACTTATAGATATTTTTTGCCCAGGGATTAGGATCTCTGGTAGCATTTCTTGGCACTCAGCTACTGTCTGTTAGAATAAACATCCCTTTGCTCTCCTAGCAACTTGTTTCTTAAATGTAATGATTGGGGGAGATGGGTACCTAAAAAAAAATCTTTGAGAATTGTTGTAGGGGTTATAGGGTTATAGCAAAGGTACTGTGGTTAAGGCACTTGCTTTGAAGGTGGCTGTCCTGGGTTGGGTTCTTGGCACCCCAAAAGGTTCCCTGAACCCCACCAGGAATGATTCCCTGAGCACTATCAGGTATAGCCCCAAACCAGAAAAAAATTGTTTCACAATATATTTATTTACTATTTAATACCAGTAAGCACTTGACTTGTAATCATACTTGGGATAACATAAAAATTTCCTGAGTGAAAAGGGGTTGTGAAGAAATTTTAAGAAATGGTGTCTTAGCAAACATTCCCACATGCAGGGTGCCCTGAAATAAGAATTTCATTAGTTCATTAGTTAGAAAGTATCATTCATTAAAAAAAAATCAATGGGATGGGCACAGCTGTCCCTTCACTTCCACCCCAGGTGGTCACTTTATATTTTCATCATTATGAAGCAATCATCATGTGCATATTTATAAAGACTAATGAAGCCTCCACAGGTCTTAAATATTTTAAAAATTCCACTTCACCACAACTCAGTGTTATTAAACATTTTTACTAGAACACATTCTCATCTACCGGTGAATACAGTCTAGTCATAGAGAGAAAATTTAAATAGATGCTTAAAAAGCTGTAACTATTTTCAACCAGTTAATCACTTTCCAGAATTTTCTAATGTGGTTTAATACATATGGGCCAAAAAGACAGTGGGTAGGGTGCTTGCCTTGCATGTGGCCAACCAGGTTGAATAGCAGGTTGAATCCCTGCTACTGCATATGGTGCCAGATCAGGGTTGATCTCAGAGCACAGAGCCAGGAATAAAAACCTGAGCACTGCTGGGTGTGGTTCAAAAACAAAAACAAAACAAAATAAAAAAAAATACAAATATACATTGAAATTTAATGGGTGTGTCCTCCCTGATGAAACTGGAACAGTTGTTAGCTTGATTTAGGGCATAACTTGCCTGGACAAAACTAAGCTACTTGTTTCAAATATAAACGAAATGTTAAATTAGTCAATCATAGCAAAACTCAAAAACAGTAGCACGCTTCATTCAGGGAATCCTTCCAGAAGCAGAAATATAGTCATACCTGGCACTGCCACTCCATAGACATTAGTTTCCTCTATAAAATCCAAGTTGCCAATAACATCAGCGACCTCTGTGGTTGCAACATTCTCCCCTTTCCATCTAAATACAAACAAACAAGCTCTAGTCAGCGCACCTTTAGCTGAAGAACTAGGCACCTGTTTTCATTTCACTGCCTCACATTTGCCTCTGAGCCAGGCCCTCCTAAGCAAGAAGAATAACAGTTTCAAAATGAAAGAATTTTCAAAGGCACATTTCATTAACAAATACATCAACATCTGTAGTTAGTTTAAATTACTTTATCTGTGCCTCACTGATATAACTGCTTACTATAAAATTTTAATAAGATGTCATAAAATAAATTCATGATAAATTTAACTTTATGGGTTAATACAATAATAGTTAACAACAAAACATCCCTTGCCTCTTATGATAATAATATGAAAATGAAAAAAGAGCTAAAGCTGTCTCTTAGTGTGCATAACCCCTTTGTCTCCTTTGATGACTATAAATGAATATTTCATGTAATTAAAATAATTTTACAAAAAAGGTACGAGAAAGCAAAGTAGTAGCATGCACAATCTTGTATTTATTATAGCATTTTGTAAGTGTCTCTCTGACCTGCCTTGTTCTATAGTGAGTAACTAGTCCTGCAGAGTAATTTCATTGGCCTGAAGTAATCTTAAGGAATTAGGAAAGGAAATATGAGAAGGAAATTTTTGCTATTTCGTTATGTTTTCCATTAGGTCAAGAATCAGACAATTATTTGGCCTCAGTGATTTTATGTTTCTTTTTTTTAATTTTCTGTTCAATCTAACTTCTTTTTTTTTCTTTTTTCTTTTTTTATTAGTGAAACACCATGAGGTACAGTTATAGGCTTACAAATTTTGTGCTTGGGTTTCAGTTATACAATGATCAAGTGCCCATCCCTCCATCAGTGCCCGTCATCCATCACCACGGGTCCCAGCATCCCCCCCACCCCTCATTCCCCCCCCCATCCCATCCTGCCTCTGTGGCAGGGTATTCCCCCTTGTTCTCTCTCTCTTCTTTTGGGTACTGTGTTTTGCAAGAGAGGCATTGAGTGGCAATCATGTCTGGTCTATCGACTACTTTTAGCATACTTCTCCACCCTGGGAGGGTCCTCACAACACCCTTCATTTGAGTGATTTTATGTTTTAAACTACTATTGATACTTAATGTCTGCTAGCTTAGATTTTATTTAAAAAATGCTCACTGGTTTGCCCAAATGACTTCATTAAGTTATTGTAAATTTCCCATCATGTTTAACCTATATGTTTCAATATAGCAACAGATAATTAATGGTTTATTAGCTCTGCCTTTTCTGTAAGTCTGTCTTTTTATTTATTTGCGGCACCAGGGATTGAACCCAAGTCTCAGTTGGCATACCACATGCTGCCTAATGAATTATTTTTAATAAGGTGCCTTTATGGAGATAAAAGTCATTGTTTTGAAAACTGACAAAACCCTGTACTATAGGGTTTTCATAGAGTCTTGATCTTCGTAAGATTCACTCACAGCCCAGAATTATAATGCCACCCAAGAGATTCCATACCTGAAAGTATCACCTATACGGTCCCAAAAATAGAGGAAACTCTGATCTTCAACCATTAAATCTCCTGTGTTAAAGTAAACATCTCCCTTCTTGAACACATCACAAAGCAACTTCTTTTCTGTATGCTTCTTATTCCCAGCATAACCAAAGAAGGGATTCTTGGCATTAACTCTAGAAATGAGAAGTCCTGGTTCTCCTTGGAGAGAAGAGAGGCATTTTCAGTGTTGTATTTGAAACCATACCACATATACCATGCATGCATCTGAATCACAATGGACTGACATAAACAGTGCTGTTCATTCTAACTTCCTCTGAATCTTAACTTTATTATATGTGACATCACTAACTCTTTTTGCCTACATCTATCAGGGCCTTTCACAAATTGCCACAAACACAGTTTACTCTAGTCACAGAAGAAATTTGAATTTAAAGAAAAGCATCCTAAATTTATCTTATGACCTGGTTGGATAAATCAGTGATTAGTTTTGGATTACAAACATATTAACACTGACAATAGCACAGCGGTAGGGCGTTTGCCTTGCACGCAGCCAGCCAGGGCTGAGCCAAGTTGGATTCCTCTGCCTCTCTCAGAGAGCCTGGCAAGCTACCCAGAGTATTCAGTATGCCAAACACAGTGACAAGAAGTCTCACAATGGAGACATTACTGGGCCCGCTTGAGCAAATCGATGAACAAAGGGAGGACAGGTTTTTTTTTGTTTGACAATAATGAAAATCATATAAATAACATCCACTATAAGAATAGCATTAATGGGGCTGGAGCACAGCAGGTAGGGTGTTTGTCTTGCATGTGGCCGACATGGGTTCGATTCACAGCATCCCATATAGTCCCCCAAGCACTGCCAGAAGTAATTCCTGAGTGCATGATCCAGGAGTAACCCCTGTGCATCGCCGGTGTGACCCAAAACGAAAAAAAAAAGAATAGCATTAAAATGATAGTTACAATATTTTGGGGGAACTTTCTATATATTAATCACAATGATCCCGCTGAAGGGCTGTAGCGATAGCACAGTGGGTAGGTGTTTGCCTTGCACGCAGTCAACATGGCCAACCCGAGTTCGATTCCTCTGCCCCTCTCGGAGAGCCCGGCAAGCTACCGAGAGTATCTCGCCCTCATGGCAAAGCGTGGCAAGCTACCCATGACGTATTTGATATGCCAAACACAGTAACAACAAAAGTCTCACAATGGATATGTTACTGGGGTCGCTCGAGAAAATCGATGAATAATGGGAGGACAGTGATGGTGACAGATTCCACTGAAATATCATTCTATATATTCTTTATGAAATTTTTATATTAACATTATAATTGCTATATCACAGCAAAAAAATTAAGGCTCAAATGATGAAGTGAATTGCCAAAATCAAAGAGAAAGAAATGCAGCTAGAACTGAAATTAGATGTCTAGAACTTTGCAACAAGGTTTCTGTATATTATATGTAACCCAATGATGCATAATTAGATAGTTAATTAGAAATTAGGCATGAAATATATTAATTTTACACATAATTAGAGACATAATCTGGAGTAATTTTTTATTTAACTTATCCAAGTTAATCCAGATTTTGCTCAGCAAACTTCAACATAAAAAGCATCGTTTAAGAGAAATTGAGACGACAAGAGCAGCAGCAATTTCTGTTCAGGAGGGTTTTTAAAGGTATTGCTGATTTGTTTTTCTTTGCCCTCTGTGAAAAGACAACATTAAATGGGGTTGAATTCCAGAAAACTACAAAATAACTAATATCAGACCAGAGAGACTATGCAGTGGGTAGGAATCTGCTTTGTTTGTTGTCAACCTAGGATCAATCCATTGCACCACATAAGGTCCCTTGTCCTACCCTAAGTGGTCCCTGAGTTCAGAGTCAGAAGCAGGTCCTGAGCAGAGCTGGGTGTGGACTCCAAATGAAAAAACAAAAACCAAAGCAATTTATGTAATTTCCACTCTCTTCATGCAACTTTGATTGTTTCTATTAGTAGATATTTTGGCTTCCAAGAGACTAATGTCACTGGCCAAAAAGTTCTGATCTAGGGGCTGTAGCGATGTAATAGAAGGTAGGGCATTTGCCTTGCATGTGACTAACCCAAATTTAATCCCTGACATCTCTTTTGGTCCCCTGAGTACCACCAGGAGTCATTTCTGAGTGCAGAACCAGGAGCAAGCCCTGAGCATTGCTGGGTGTGACTCAAAAAGCCAAAATAAATAAATAAATATAAACCCACAAAGCAAAATATGATCTATCAGAGCAAAAGCTCTTCAATCACCAACAACATCGTCTCCACTATCATCAGCACCACCACCATTATCACAATTATCACTACTGTCATCACCACCACCACAACTATCATCACCATCATTATCACCATCATCACCATCATCATCAGCACCACCACTATAATTGTTGCCATTATTACACTTCATTTTCTGGGACACAGGCACTCTTCTGAGTGCTTTAGGTTTTTATCCCATTTATTATTCATTAAAAGCCTGAACTTTCATTTTTATAGGTCAAGAAACCGAGGAGGAAAAAGTAATTTTCCTAAGGTCATACAGTGGCCAGGTGTTGGAAATTGAGGAGTTTTGTTGTTTTGAACCAGGTCTATCTGACTCTATTTCTCTCCTTGCTCACATATCATATTAGTCTATATTTCCTATTGAAATAAATAATCTTTCTAAGGCTCTTATATTTCTTTTGAAATTGATTTTTTTCTTCTCCTTTATAACATGGGTGACAAATTCTTCCCTGATTAATGATTCAAAGTACTTGAAAAATTCATAGTGCATTTCTTATCAATTCTTCCTAGGGTTAATTTATCCTATATAGACTTGATGATTTAGTGGAGAAGAAACTTTGAGGGTCTTTGCTGGGGTGGGCAGCAGGATTATAGTCTTCTGGACCTTCACTAATCTCAACTCAAAATCTTTGTCAGCTCTGAAAATCTGGGGCTGAATTGTTCTGCTCATTTTTACAGCAAAGATTTTAGAAGACAATCATGTCCATCACTTGGCACTGCTGACATGAAAAAGACTTACAGCAGTGAGTGAAAATGAGCTGGTGGAAGGGTGTTGGTGAAAAGGAAAGTCTCTTCACTGTTGGTGGACTACAGCGGGGTTCAGCCTCTTTGGAAAATAGCTTGGAAACTTCTCAAAACATGACCAATCCAACTTAGAGAACAATAACTTTAAAGGCACTGTAAACTATAATAGCACAATAAAAAGTTACTACATAAATAATAAAAAACTGAGAAAAATGAAGCAGGTATGATGTATACAGACATATGTAATAGAAGCACCCCTTTAAATTATCGTCAAAAGCATTCTTGCAAATCTAAAAAATTTAAATGGGGATAGTGTTGGAAGGAAGGTTTCTCAAGTGGAGGGACTGGTGTTGGAACATCAAAAGCCTGTAACAAAAATATGATGAAAAACTTTGTAAACCATGGTGTTTAAATAAAAAAGAAAAAATAAAATCTCATTAAATAAAAGGATAAAAGGGGAAAAATAAAGGCAACCATCTGTATTAACGACAGTATAAAAATTAATTTTGATTTATTCAGACTAGATTCCTAACAACTTCTAAGGGCACCTCTCCACATTTAAAGATTTAAATTACAGGCAGTTGCAAGCTCATTGAAGTGTTTGCTTTCATTAAAATTTGTAATCCAAACTGATGAGACTTCGTTTGCAGTGAAGCAGGAAGGAGAGGGAGAAGACAAGGACAGGAAGGAACTCCTCTGCGGTCTCCACCTGCTATATTCCCTACTTCTTTCATCAAAACTCATCCTGTGGAATAAGAACTCTCTCCTCTATTTTACAGACAAAGAAAATAAGTTCAGCCCCTAATTGTACAGTTTTTCAGTGTCAGAATTCATATTCAAAGCCCTGCCTGTCTGCCTTTGCACTGTACAACAAATGAAATGCTGCCGTCCTCCTTCTAGCCTTTTCAGGGCTGGAGTTCCAAGTGGTGCTGGGGATTGAGCATGAAGATTAAATGCCTTACTCATGGTACAATCTCTCCTGTACAGGTATCACACTTTAATTTCTCTTAATTGTACAGGGCTACACACATGTGTGTGCAGATGTGGTATGTCCAGAGCACAGCTGCAGCAGATCTCGTTTCTGAAAGTCTGGATAAATAGAGGGCCCAGAACAGATCAAGTGCAGCCTATGTGTCACAGCCCTAGTCCTGTCCTTCCCTTTCATGTTCCATTATGTGACACAGAAGAGCACTCATATGTAATTTCTACAAACGAGATCGAAGTGATAGGTTAGGGAAAATATGAGCCACCACTTTTAATTTTTAACAACTTAGCATCTGAGCAACCTACTCCAGGCTCCTCACATTTAATGATGAGACCATCGGACTGGCCTTGAAATTCAAAATAAGTCACATTTCATATTTGAAATTGTGATGTTTTCTTTTTATCATTTCTGTAGTAATTAAGCACAAGTTCAGAGAGCCTGCTAGAGACCTCTTCAAATACAAGATTCTTACCTTTCTTCACGCGGCTACACCAGCCCTCAGCATTCCGAATGGGTTCATCTTTCTTAAAGTCATATTTTATTAAGTCAAAATTGAAAAATAGCTGCAAAATCAAAATCAAAAATCAAGATTTTAGTTATGTATTCATGCAGTGACATTTACTGGTAGCAGAATTTATGCTTAGTTAAAGAATTAGAATGTGGAGTTATAAAATGAGAAAACTGTGCAGATAAATAGCTGAAAATCAGAACTGAAGATAACCGCTCTCATTTACCAACAGTGAATTTCATTTCTTTTCTATTATTGCACATCTCCTTAGCAAATAGTTACTAAGTTTATCCTAAATTTTCAATACAGTCTACTAGATCTTGGTCAGGGGACCACTTTCTTGCCTTTTTCTTTTTTAAAATCATTAAAACACTGCTTGAAATGGAATATTTTACTAGAACTGAATGGAAACTCTGAAAATGCAAGGATCTGTTGGTTACTTCCTTCCCTTATAGACCCAAGAGAAAGGAACAAATGCCTACCAAGGAATTATTTGAAATTGGATCTTTTCTATCCAGGGTCTTGATTCTTAATGTCCCAAAATAGCTCTGAGGATTTCTGTGCAGTAAATATGAAGAAAGAGATGGAAACTGTGCTTGAATACCTTTATTGTATTTAAAACCACTAATTGGGCAATTTCCTTTTTTTCAAGTACTTCAGTTCCTCTACTCCTATAAAATGTCCATATGATCGTATCAGGCAGATTCACAACTTTAGTGAAATCTGACCTTGGAGAGACAAACAAATAAATTCATTCCAACTCTCCTAACTTTACATACAAGAATATTGAGGTTTTCCTGATCAACTGTCACTGTTACTGTCCTCCTGTTGTTCATCGATTTGCTTGAGTGGGCCCAGTAACATCTCCATTGTGACAATTGTTACTGTGTTTGGCATATTGAATACATCATGGGTAGCTTGCCACGCTTTGCCATATGGGTGAGATACTCTCGGCAGCTTGCTGGGCTCTCCGAGAGGAGCAGAGGAATCAAACTCGGGTCAGCCATGTTAGCCGCTTTGAAGGCAAATGCCCTACCCACTGTGCTATGGCTCCAGCCCCCTGATCAACTAAATAAGCAATTTTATTTGCTAAAATGGTAAGTAGCAAATCAAAAACAGATAATGAAGCAAACTGAGAAGAGTAGTAAGGAGGAACATATTAGAGAGAGAAAGAAATAAAGGGAGAGATGAGAGAAAAGAGAAAAGAGAAGTAAACAGAACAAGTAAAAAAATAAATAAGATTAATGAAACAAATGAGCATTAGTTATAGAGAAAAATTAAACATAAGTCTTTGGATTTTAAATATCTTGGAAGAGAGCAACACAAGAGCAACATGCCACAGAGATGCCTCCAGACCCCAAAGTCACCATCCAGTTAAAAACAAATTAATTAACCTTATCTGTGTTAGTGTATTAAGATTTTAGAATTCCTGGAGTGAAGGCGGCCGCATGATATCTCATACTCTATAGCAGTGAGCAGTGATGTACCAAGAGTAGCACACCACATTTGTAAGGGGTGTAAAGTAGAAAGCAACCAATCTCGGGGGTTATTGGTAAATATATTTATTAACATATAAGTCTCAACCTTTAACAACATGTTAGTAATCTCTTATACAAGGGCTTAATAGCTTAATGGCTCCAGGATGAAATGCAACAATCTTTACACACTTTCCTCTAAGGAAACATATTTGGATCAATTTAAGTGGATTATTCATAACAAGCAATACGAATTAAATTATTTAGGTCCTGCTCTGGGGGCAGACTTTGGGGGCCGAGTAGAAACATTCAAAATATGGTGGTGGAAGGTGTAAAGGTGGTGGGAGGGTGTAATGGTGTTTGGACTGGTGCTGGAATCTTAAATGTAATAAATTATTGTGGGCAACTTTATAAAAATAAAATTTAAAAAAATCTAGACTTTACGGAGATTGTAATCTCCATAAAGTCTATGTAACTAAAACCATCTTTCATTATTTAACTTAAAATATAAATGAAGGTGGGGCTGGAGTGACAGTACAACAAGTAGGCCACTTGCCTTTCACATGGTCAGTCAAACACCTGGCATCCCTCATGGACTTCAGGCACCGCCAGGAGTGATTCCTGAGTGCATAGCCACAAATGTCCCCTGAGCATTGCTGAGTATGACCCCAAAACAAACAAAACAAAAAGAAGGTGCTGGAAGGTGCTGGAGAGATAGCACAGTGGATAGTGTACTTGCCTTACAAGCTGTCGACAAAGATTAAATCCTTGGCACCCTATATGGTCCTCTAAGCATTGCCAGGAGTGACCCCTGAGTGCAGAGCGGTAGTAATTCCTGATAACATCTGAGTGTGGCCCCAGATCCAAAATAAATAGAGAAATAGATAAAAATACAAGCTGGTGTCTTGATTTTGTCAATAGCTGGGATAACAGGATATTGCTCACTAGTCAAACAACTTAAAAAAAGAAAAAGATTGCAATAGTTCTGGAACTGCCTTTATCATTTTGGCCAAACAAGAACAGAGCTCTGATTATTACCCATTTTTTTCACTCCTGTTTCAACATGCTGTAGTTTAGGGGGAAAAATTCCCAGTACTAGGTGATATCAACTTTAGTGTTAAGTTACCTAAATGAGTTTAGCAGCCATATGTAAGGGTTTATTTAGTCTATACCATATAATCATTCACTGTGAATATTATCAGAAGCAGGGGACATGATGGAGAGAGACTCTATAATTTAAAAATTCAAGTTAAATTTTGCAAGACCACATATCTGCTAGAAGTAGACTAGATCATGTCATAAATTTTGACTAAAAAATGGGTGAGGGAGTATGATTATCACTCTTCTTCCCTTTCAAGTGATACCAAGAGATCACAAAAAAAGTTACATTATAATAACATAAATAAAAAAGGCATATGCTACACTTTATATGTTTTGGGGGGCATGCCTAACAGTGCTCAGGGTTTACACTTGGCTCTGTGCTCAGGGATCACTGGCAGGCTTCAGGAGATCACATGTGGTACTGGGGATTGAGCATAAGGATTAAGTGCCTTACCCATGGTACAATCTCTCCTGCACAGGTATCACTTTAATCTCTCTTAATTGTACAGGGATACACACATGTGTGTACAGATGTAGTGTGTTCAGAGCACAGCTGCAGGGGGACCCGTTTCTAAAAGTTTGGGTAAATAGAGGGCCCAGAACAGATCAAGTGCAGCCTTTGTGTCTGTGTCCGCTGGCCCCGACAGTCCCTACACAGAAAAGTTTGACATTCTGTATTCAGATTTGTATGTTGAGAAAGTTAAAAAGTAGAAAAAAAATAATTTCCCTGATTTATATGTAAGGCTAGCACTGGACTAGAGCCCAGGGTGTGGTGATTCCAATTCAGGCAATGGCCCCTGCGTTGCAGCCCAGCACTGCAACCTGGGCAGCAGAGCCTCAACTTACTGGTTCCAAAGGTCTAGATCAATTTCTCTTCTTTTAAACAAAAGCCCTAACACACAGGTACATGATAAATATGATTCATATAACAATTCACATGACATTTTATATCCTTTGGCTATTTTGAGCATTTTAGAAGAAAGTTCTGCAACCGCAGAGTTCTGAATATTTCTCAGAGCTAACTGCACTAAAATACATTGTTTAAAAACCAGCAAAGCAAAACAGACAAAATAAAAAACAAATAGCATTGCTCCAAATCTCAACCCAAAAATAATATATCATAAATAATGTACTACACCTTTAACAGTCAGATCACACTAAAGAGAAAATAGATACACTTGATCTTCTGCTTAGAACATGTACTCAACTCTGTACCTCCATCACCATCTGGTACTTGACACCAGCCATTTGTGAGACCAAAACCACCTCTGCACTAGCCATTGATTCTTTTTTGAATTGACCACAAGGTTTCTTACATTTCAAATTTAAAATGTGACCTGGTATCCTTCTGTAAAACCAATGAGTCACATCTGCCTTTAGTCCCAAGATAGGTGTTTCTGTCACTGAGACACTGATTTCATAACAAAATTCCTTAATGAAAATGTTACTTTACTTTTTTTCACTTTGAAATTTGTTTCAGAGAGATGCCAGAGATCTTCCCCACACTTCGTACATGCTTTATAGTTATCCAACCCGGGTATATTTTTATGATGACAATTCTGTACCATATTTCTTTATCTTTTGGCATACAATGTTCTCTTTCGCCAACGATTCAAGTCTTTGAGAAAGCTTTCTTTCATTATTAGATTTCAGGAAATAAAAATTTGGTATTTATTATTAGGTTTCAGAAAAATATTTCATTATTAGATTTCAGAAAAAAAAATCCTCTATTTCTTTCCCCCTGTGGGAGCACTAGTTAAATAGATCATTGTATATATTTTCAAACCTAATCTTTTACAATTATTTTTATGTTTTTATTTGCTTTTGCTATTTTTATATTTGTAAGACTCATCAATTTTATCATCTTACGTTTTAACAATTTATTGTCCAATTATTTAGAAGGTCTTTAATGTAACATTCATATGTGTAAGTTTTCATTTTTCCTTCTATTTTGTACTTTGAGATGAGCAGGCTAGTTTTAATTTCAATGTTGGTTTATGTTCTCCTTGAGCATTTTTCTCTTCTCTGAGCTATTATTTTCAAAGAGAATACTATTGCAATTTTCCTAGCTATAGGGCATTGCTTTTCTAAACATTTCTAGGCCATTTTGAAGGACTTATCATTTTCATGTACATCTATATTTCTTAGCTGCTTTTTATTTGGATTTATTTTCTTCCTTTTACCAAGTTCTATTTGCTCTATGGATTTCATATTTGTTCCTTCCAATTATTAACCTGAAGTGTCAAAAAGAAAAAGGCAGATCATAACTTTTACTTGAGAGCCTATCTCAAATGCAACGTCACCAAAGTTTTTATAGTGTTTTCCATAGCAGCATATGTGGAAAATATATTCTTTTAGTCTCTTGCATTTATACAGTAAGTACAGCAACAAGGACATTTAGGTCAGAGAAGTTATATTTCTGCCTCATCTTGTTCCTTCACTTTTTATATCTCATCTTTGTTTACAGTCTGATTCCTCTCTTAAGCCATAAATTTGTTCTTATTAGGCCTCAAGTTTTGAAAGATGAAATTATTAAATATCTCCATGCAATTATGAGTTAGTTATTGTTTTAATATCTTGTGATCACCTGCCATATAAAAAATAATATATTAATGACAAAAAAACCCCCACAGGTTGGGATTTATAAATGAAATTTAAAATTTTTCATTTCTAATTAAAAAAATATATATATATACATATACACATATATATATACATGCAACATGTATATACACTCGGAGAGTCCAGCAAGCGACCAAGACTATACCGCCTGCATGGGCAGAGCCTGGCAAGCTACCCGTGGTGTATTCAATATGTCAAAACCAGTAACTATAACAGGTCTCATTCCTCTGACCCTGAAATAGCCTCCAATCATTGGGAAATACCAGAAAGGAGAGGCTGCTAAAATCTCAGATGAATATTTGGGATGAATAGAGATGTTACTGGTGCTCACTCAAGTAAATGGATGAGCAAAGGGATGACAGTGATACAGTGATACAGTGAATCAGAAAAATAGCTAAGATGAGTTGAAAATCAGAACTTTTCTAAATAAATAAATGACAAGCATCACTCTGCATTATCCTTATCAGTTTTATTGAGAATATCAAACATTATAAAATGATAGTAAAGTCAAACCAGTGACAGAAACACCTATTTACATTGTTACCCTTGTTGGAGGAGTACTCTGAAATGGCTCAATTCACCAAGTAGCTTGTTTTGTTTGTACAGGCCACACCCAGTGGTACCTGGTAGACTACTAGTGGCTTGGTGCAATATAACACTTTCATTATTATATCATTATAATACGCCCTTTCTACTTCAGTAATTCCTTCTCTGTCATTTTTTCCATTTTGGTTTCTGAATTTATTTCAGTTGTTTTAAAGCGTTTAATTCTATTTACAGAAATGGATATTCAGCGCATCTAGTTTTAGCTGTGCTTAAATATGTCCACACATTTGAAAGAGTAACAATTTTCTTTATGATTCAGCTCAAATTATTCTCAAATTTCTATTGAAGTTTTTTGTTATTCATAGATATTTGGAGATCACTTGTTTTCAAATATAAAGCATATGATTTACTTTGAGTGGTGGTAGTGGTGGTGATGTTAGGTGGTACTCAGGGACCACATGCATCTATGCAGTGGGGGATGATGCAGTGTCAGGAAATGAACCTAAGGCCTCAGGCCTGCAAGGCGTGTCCTCAGCCAATTGAGCTGAATGATCCATCCTCTAGAATTATCTTTCTTAATTAAACTGTTGTCAGAGAACATAATCCATATAAATACATACATCTATATTCAACCCAATGACATTTGCTGGAATTCCCAAAGTGCCCCAATTATTTTTAATGAATTATGAATGCCTCATAAATCACTGAGAAGAATAACCACTCTGCAGTTTTCAGATACAGCATCCTATATCTGTCCCTGTAATTCAAGCATTTTAATTCATCATTTAAATATTCTACATCATTGAAGATTTTTATCAAATGATAAAATGTCCTACTATGATTCTGGATTTTTTTTAATATATCTATAACTCTCTTGAGGGTTATATACAGTTTGAGAACCTTTTTTCACTTTTTTAAAAAAATTTACTTTTATTATTGTTTCAGAAACATGGTCACAATAGTGCTTATTCTGTACATCAAAATGGTTTTGATGTACAAATTTACAGTACTTTCTCCAACACCAATCACTTTTATTCTCTAAAAGCATTGTTGAGGGCTGGAGCAATAGCACAGCAGGTAGGGCGTTTGCCTTGCATGCGGCCAACCCGGGTTTGATTCCCAGCATCCCATATGGTCCCCTGAGCACTGCCAGGGGTAACTCCTGAGTGCAGAGCCAGGAGTAACCCCTGTGCATCACCGGGTGTGGCCCAAAAAGCAATAAATAAATAAATAAATAAATAAAAGCATTGTTGAATATAAATTTTTTCCTAGTGATTATGTCTTTCAAGCTAGCTGAAGACATCTGGCTACCACCTTCCACCTTCCACATGTGCTATTTAGTCATTTTCTATCTATCTTTTGCTCCTACAAAAGTGATTTTTTTGGTGGTGGTGGGGAATGTGCACTGGTGGCGGGGTGGGTGTTTGATCATTGTGTGATTGTAACCCAAACATGAAAGCTTATAACTATCTCATGGTGAGTCAATAAAATTTTTTAAAAAAAGAAAAGAAAAGAGTTCTTTTTCTATTTAGACTAAGTTTTTAAGGGGCTACATTTATATTTGAGTAATAAATATTGTCTTTTTCTTAACATTAATTTTGACTAATTCAGGCACAAAGTGAAGGTGTCAAAAGACTATACCACTACCGTGCTTTTTAACATTATGACAATTATTGGGGCATTAGTTATACTTCAAGATACTGGTAAAATAAACAACACAAGCTTAAAATTCTGGCCTGATCCCTACACTTCTTGGAAAGTGCAGCTGTTTACCAGCAGTCACTTTTTCTTTCTTTCCTTTCTTTTTCCCATCTCAGCTCAGTGTGAAAACATTCTGTCACTGTTGCTTGTCCAAACTTAAAATGTAAAACAAGGCATTGAAACACTAAGAACAAGCACAAAAATTTGTAAGTCTAAAACTGTACCTCGTGGTGATTCACTAATAAAAAAAAATTAAATCAATAAAAATATGTTTAAATTGTTTTTAAGATTTTCATGGCATCTTGATATTGTCTTAATGGAAATCCTATATTATAAGCCTATTTACAATCTTTTAGTGATATAAAAATAAAGATTGGGTGGAAGTGTTAGTATAGCAGGTGGGGCATTTTCCTTCCATGTCATGGACCTAGGTTCAATCCCCGATATCCCACATGGTCCATCTGTACAGCCAGGAGAGATCCCTAAGTTCAGAGCCAGGAACCAGTTCTTGAGCATCACCAGGTATGGTTTCCCCTCCCCACTCCCCCTAAAAGGTGAGCAGAAATAGTGGTCCAACAATTCTCAAGAGAAGTGAATTAGCAGTGACATAGGACAGTGGTGGAGCGTTGTGAGAGTACTCTGGTGGGGGGGAATAGTAAGTATGTACATCAGTACCCTAAACTTTAATACTATTGATTTATAACCATGTTACCTAAACTATAAAAGTAAAACAACAAAAAATAGAGTCAGCCTAGTCTATAGTCTGTCTGCCTATCTATCTACCTGTCTACCATAGTCCTTTGTTATTAGTTTATATATTATATCATTAAATTGGAAAAACAACAAAGGAGTTAGGTGTAATTGTTCACTTTAACAGAGGGAAATCTGGGAAAAGCCTGAGATTTTCATTGCCTGTAGCACCATAGTTCATCAATGCCAACACTTTCTTTGGTAAGGAAAATGCTGTACTTACTTTATAAAAGAAATTGGTTCTCCCAACGGATCCAATTGTTCCAGTGTGATTCATGAAACAAATGTTTCCTTCAGTAGCTCCATAAAATTCACACATCTTGATATTTCCAAATCTGTCTAAGAATTCTTTCCATACATCTCTCCGCACACCATTTCCAACTGCCAAACGTACCTTGTGATCCTTTTCTCCTTCTCTCTGTTGGAAGAAAAGATCTTATTTGCAATTTATTTAATTCCAGGTTCTAGTTCTTTAATTCATTATTATCAACTAAATGGCAAATATCCAGACTGCCTGTTTACAGTAAGAAAATAAACTAAGACAAAAAACAAAAACAAGTAAGTTACAGAACCATGTCATGCAGCTAAAGAAATGATGGGATTTTGTATTCTCAAGTCTGTTATTTATTATTTATGTAACTTTAAACCAGCAATTGAGTCCCATTTGATTCTTAATTTATTCTTCTGCCCAAAATTAATAATAACTACTCACATTATAGCTAAGCGATAGCACAGCGGGTACAATGTTTGCCTTGCATGCAGCCGATGTAGGTTCGGTTTCTCCATCCCTCTCAGAGAACCCGGCAAGCTACTGAGAGTATTCTGCCCCCATGGCAGAGCCTGGTAAGCTACCCGTCGTGTATTCAATATGCCCAAAACAGTAAAAACAAGTCTCACAATGGAGACATTACTGGTGCCTGCTCGAGCAAATCGATGAACAACGGGAGGACAGTGCTACGGTGCTACACTGCTACTCACATATATGCTGCAATACATAATAAATACCCAGTGTACTGTTTACTATGCATGTAGTAAGCATTGAATTGAAGTTAGTCACTGTGATATTTGGCTTTACAAATATAATCACAACTACTGATTACCTATTTTTTGTATGTGGAATATTTCCCTATTTTCACTCTAGTTCCTATTTTAAAATCAAAGAAAAAATAAAACTCTAGTTTGTCCTATGAACCCTAATTAACCTGATAAAAATACACTGATAAAAATTAAAGAACATTTTATCAGTGTACTCACTTAACAGTAAATCTATGTACTCACAGTACATCTATGGTTTTAAGTTACCACCATCTTCACTTCACCGAAAGTAATACAAAGTAACAAAACTAATAATAAATTAATAACCAACAAAATAGAGAAATAAATGCCCCTGCCACAATAAAAATGGTCACTCACATTTTTTTACCTCAATTCCTTCTCAGTTTTAAAGGAAAGCTTTTAATCTACTCTCTTTTTTTTTTCTTTTTGCTTTTTGGGTCACACCCGACGATGCACAGGGGTCACTCCTGGCTCATGCACTCAGGAATTACTCTTGGCGGTGCTCAAGGGACCATATGGGATGCTGGGAATCCAAACCCGGGTCGGCTACATGCAAGGCAAACACTCTACCAGCTGTGCTATCACTCCAGCTCCCATAATCTACTAACTCTTAAGAAAAAAAAAGTAATTTTGGGAACTTGCTCAAAGAAGACCGATAGTCAATGGGTATATGAGAAATCCTCTTTGTCACTCATCACCCAGGAAATGCAAATCAAAACACCAATGAGATGTCTTCTAACACCAGTGAGAACTGCCTACATCAAAATCAGTAAAACAATCAGTGTTGATGGGGGTTGGGGGAGAGACACCCTAATTTACAGTTGGTGGGAATGTGATCTGGCTCAGCCTTTATGGAAAACAGTATGGACATTTCTCAAAAAATTAAGAACTGAGCTTCCATAGGATCCAGAAATTCTACTTCTTGGCATCTACCCCAAGAGCCCCCAAATGCTGTATGAAAAATATGTTTCAACTATGTTCATAGCAGCACTATTCACCCTAGCCAAGATTTAGCAACAACCAACTGCCCGAAGACAGATGAGTAGATAAAGAAATTGGAATTTGCTTATGCTAAGATGGAACTAGAGGGTATCATACTAAGTGAAGTTTGTCTGAGGGAAAGGGCAACTATTAGAATGAGCTCTCTCATTTGTGAAATATAAAGGCATATAAAAATATAAACAGAAAAACAAACAACCATTGCAATGTTAACAGGTTCTGAGAGTAGCCTACAGAATTCAGCTTGTTAAGCAGAGTGGTGGTGGTGATGGTGGTTGGGGGTGATGGTGAGAGGGAATCTGTTGACATTGGTGGAGGGGCGCTGATACTCTAGTGGCATGTGTGATGTTGGAACATTGCATGACTGAAACTATGTTAACAGTATTGGAAATCACAGAAAACAAAGAAAAATTGTTCAAAGGATTATAATGATACAAATTGGAACCAATTGCTCTTCTCTAACTAACCTCATATCTAATCACCACTGGCAAAGAATTTAGCTCAAGTCCCTGAGTGAGTTGGGGATGGACTAGAAGGGACCTAGGGACAGAAGTGAAGGTTTTTTGGCACTTTGCTGATGGTGCTGCTGTATTTCTGTACACCCAAAGCACAAACAGTAACAATAATGTAAACCACGTTATCTTAGAATTAATATACAAAATTTTAAAAAAAGAATAAAGCATAGCTTTGGAAACTTAAAAGTGAAAAGGCAAGAGGCAGGGGGCTGATATGGAGTGGAGAAGGCTGAATTCTAAGTCTGCAGGTAAGAACTTGCTCCTGAAAGCATCTGGATGCAGAAGGCAGAAGGCTTAGCTGGAAACTTGCTTAAGAAGCAGTTTCACTGTGTTTGGTCTACAGTCTACTTTCAGCATACGTCTCCCATTCTGAGCAGGTCCTCCAAACACCCTTTACTTGGTGTTCCCTTCTCTATCTGAACTGGCTTTTCCCCCAAGATGCGAGGCCACAATACCCAAAAGGAGAGAGAGAACAAAAGGGAATACCCCGCCACAGAGGGGCGGTGGGACGGGGCAGGGAGGGGAGGATACTGGGATCATTGGTGGTGGAGAAGGGGCACTGGTGGAAGGATGGGTTCTCGATCATTGTATGACTAGAATGCAAGCACGAAACTCTGTAATTGTACCTCATGGTGATTCACTAATAAAAATTTTTTTAAAAAGAAGCAGTTTCACACTTAGATTTAGAGGGATTTTCTTACAAAGTCACACTCTTAGAAACCTCGACAGTACATCTTTGAGTCTGTCCTAGCAACTCAATAGCTAAGTCCCAGAAGCTCACTCTTGGGAAGAGTCAAATTAAATAGACAATGTTTTGGGTTGAGGAATGTTGTGAGAAGAGCAATGTCTGATGAAATTCTGCACACTCCAGGAGCTCACAAAACATTTCTATTTTGATCCCAGAAGAAGCATCTACAGTGACACCAGAACATGGCTCACATTTAGAAGGAAAATGATTGGTTCTTAAACACAGAAAAAATTTAAAGACAACAAACAAACTTGGAGCATTGTTAAATGTATGATGCACAGCTTAAGATGAATTAGTGACAGGTTTTTACAAGTCTAAACAAAAATGAATGAGGCAATTATTATAAGTGGCAATAATATGTTGTCATCTATAATAATTTAAAAAACTGGTTAGCAATACACACAAGCACATATATATTTGGGGCTTAAGGGGTCATGGCTAGTAGAGCTCAGATTACTCCTGGCTCCTCTGTACTCAGGAATCAGTCCTGGAAATGCTAAGGGGACGATATGTGGAGCCAGTGTCAAACCTCAGTTGGGCATTTGCCAGGCAAATGCCTTATCTGCTGTACTATTTCTCCATCCCCATATCAATATTTAACACTGTCATAAGTATATTGGCATTGGTGTGTGTGTGTGTGTGTGTGTATGTTTGTGTGTGTGTGTGTGTGTGATGTGAGTAGGAAGACAAATAAATGATAAACTACAAGGTAGTCAGATAATAGTTAAAAATGAAGAAAAAAGTCAGGAAATAGTTATATAACATACCTTATGATGAAAAAGGAGAGTTAAGAAAAATATATTAAAATAAGTAGACAACAGTCTAGAGACTGAGCATGGCAAAAGGGCTTACTGTTTCTCCTACAGGGACTTTTTTGCTGCTGCTGTTTTCAACCATGAGAGTACTAATTTGATGAAATCAAAATTAAATTTAAAAATATAACATGAGACAGTCAAGGTTGAGGATACAGTGTATATCTATCTAGTCTTCCAGTTTCCTAAGCCTACATCAGCTGATAAAGGTAAATATTCTGCAGAGAGAGAACTCACTCAGAGCAATTTCCAAGCCACATGAACCTTCTCTACCACTCACTAGAATCTTGAGTTGTTCTGTCCTGGTTCTCACCTCTTATGAGGATGTCAGATATTGCTTATCTGGCAAGGAACTAGCTCTCAAATTTCCACCTCTCTTTTCCTGCATAAAACAGTAGCACTGAACATCAACTATCTTTTATGTGGCATAATTCAAACACTTCTCAGGTCAGAAATTAATTTTAGTAAGGACCATTGTTTATAAAACATGTTGGCATACTCTGGAAACCAGTAAGAAAATGGTTTATGTCAAATTCCAAGGGCTTTAGCCTGTGTGGATAAATTACTAAATAAGAACAAGAACTAATCACCCAAAAATTCAATTAACATAGATAAGCAAATGATCATAATCAGGATAAGAAAAACCAAATTCACTTATTTAACACTCAAAATAGCTTTATTCTATTTTACTCTCCTTTGAAAGAAAACCCAGAAGACTCTGCAACGAGGTTTATAAAGAAAGATGAAAGGAGTCATTATTTACTGCTGTCATGGAAACAGAGAATGTGTATTTGTTCTGAAACTTCATGCATACCATAGAAAATTGGAAAGAACAGATTTTAAAAAAGATAAAATGATGACTCCTCTTTTTAAGTAAAAGGGAGCATTGAAAGGGAGGACGAGTAGAATGACACAAGTAAGAAAAAAAATCATGCAGATGGGCAAAGAGATTACTCACATATGAGAGTGAAAGAAAGAAAGAAAGAAAGAAAGAAAGAAAGAAAGAAAGAAAGAAAGAGAGAGAGAGAATGCCAGTGACTAAGATACAAATCATGACAAAGAGATGTAATCATAGGGTATGCATGAGGTATAGCAAATAGGAAAGACAGAGAAACTTACTGCAAGCTATGAGGAAGTGGCACCACATAGAGCCACACAAAGGAGGAGTAGAAGACACTGAAACTTTGAGAGACTCACAGGGAGCTATGCAGATTCTGAAGTAGTGAGGAGGTGAGAAAGTTGGCAATACCTGAAAGGACAGTGCAGTTCAACAACAGTGAGATCCTCA